TCATCAACCTGTTTGGTCGGTTCTGGGTGAGCAGACTCTCGCTTGGTCCAGGTTTCGGTGCTCCCTTCCATATGGAGTTCCATATGGAGACCCATTCTATCTTGGTCTTGAGCAACAGGTTGATTCTCCATGTTCTCCCTGTGGACACATTGGTACGGTGCCCTATCTAGTAGGGGACTTGGTCTCATTGGGTATCAGATGATGGTACTTGTTTTTGGTGGGTTCTGGTTGATCAGAATCTTGCTTGGTCTAGGCTCTGGTACCCCCTTCCATATGGAGTAATTCCCGTTTGGTGGTGACCAATTCTGTCTTGGGCATCAGATTGATTCTCCATGTTCTCCCTCTCGTCACATTGGTACGGTACCCTATCTACTAGGGGACTCAACCTCATTTAGTATCAGATGATGGTACCTGTTTTTAGTGGGTTCTGGTTGGTCAGACTCTTGCTTGGTCTAGGCTTTGGTACCCCCTTCCATATGGAGTCATTCACCTCTGGTGGTGACCCATTCTATCTTAGTCGTGAGCACCAGGTTAATTATACATGATCTACCTGTGGTCACATTGGTAGCGGTGCCCTATCTAGTAGGGGACTTGGCCTCATTTGGTATCAGATGATGGTACCTGTTTTTGGTGGGTTCTGGTTGAGCAGTTTCTTGCTTGGTCTAGGTTTTGTTACCCCCTTCCATGCAAAGTAATTCCCCGATGGTGGTGACCTATTCTGTCTTGGTCTTGGGCATCAGGTTGATTCTCCATGTTCTCCCTCTGGTCATATTGGCAGGGTGCCCAGTCTGGTAGCTAAATCGTCCTCATCTGGTACCTGTTTTTGGTGGGTTCTGTTTGATGAGACTCTTGCTTGGTGCAGGTCCCCTCCATATGGTATAATTTACAACTTGTGGTGACCAATTATGTCTTGGTCTTGAGCATCAAGTAGATTCTCCATGTCCTCCCACTGCTCATATTGATAGGGTGCCCTGTCTTGTAAGGGGCTCATCCTCATCCGGTATCTGATCTAGGTCATGGTCCTTCAGGTGACTCTTTGAGACCAGTTGGGCCTATTAGCAGTTGTTACTCACCCCTCAGTGGGGCTGCATTTGGACCTCCCAGTAGTATATGAAGTCCTGTCCCCCTTAATGGACCAAAACACACCAATACTCACCATAAAAATATTTTCTTGGAGTCCATTGAGGGACACCAATCCCACCCCTCTGTGTTTATGTTCATGCTCTCATTGCAGCTTGCTACAAAATCAGGCATGCTGGGTAGCAGAGGGGTTCCACCAGACTGGCCTACCATATTTTTGTTTCTGGAGTCCAATCCGCTTGTAGGTGGCAGTATAACCCGACAGCATATGGCTTCCTATGTCCCTCAATGGACTTCAAGAAGAGGAGTTATGGAGAGATCCCAGTGAATCATCTTTTTTGAGATCTCTTTTCGTGTGTTCTCATCCCCGCCCACCCGTCATAACCATAGCATAGATGTCTTCACTGCATTCCTCTGCCCGGATTGTCTCGCCGTCGGAGTCACGCACAAATACAAAAAGCCTATCGGTGATCCAGCCTACCCGGGTCCACCAAAAACTTTATGCAGAACAATTGTGATGGACTGTCCCTTTTAATACAAACATTTTCTCTGGTTTTCATGGCATTCGGCCATTTCATGTCCTTCCACTGATGGAAAAGTCAATACTGTCCGCCCACGGATACTTTTCATTATGCGCATCACTGGGTGTCGTGTATTTTACTGCATTTTTTTACCTCCATCTTTCATATTTTTAATTTAAAAAAAAAACAACTATTTAATGATTTGTGTGAATTTGCATAAAATTTACCCCTGCTGCTAACCAGCTGAAGTCATCTCTCAGGCTGCCTCCCGTGAAGTGCAGGAGTGAGCAACATCCCATGTTATCTGTAGTCTCCTTATCAACTGCCCCTGTTATTTATGCATAACTGGGTCCAGGCAGCTAGGTCAACTCCAATGCCTGATGGTATTCGGTTAGTTTGGTCAATATTTCTCGCTGTTTTATATAATTTTTATCCAAATATTTTACCAATAAACATCTAAAGCAGTTTGCCCACCAGGATTCCCACAGCACTGCGACGGCTGTTTGCTTTCTGACTATCTCTCTCCAATTGAGTCTGTCAATTCAAGTCTGTATAAAGCCAGAGGGAGGGAAGCGCCACTGCATCATCTAATGTTTCCTCCCCTTCCTGATTGTCCCTGGCCCCGCCTTTTCATTAATTGTATTTCAGTCCCATCAATCATGGAGGCTCAGCATCGGATGTGGGCGTTACCTTAGCAAATACAGCCTGCCTGGAAACGCAATGATTTCAGTCCCATCAATCATGGAGGCTCAGCATCGGATGTGGGCGTTACCTATGCAAATACAGCCTGCCTAGGAACGCAATGTCATATTCATGAGGCGGAGTCCAAGTCAGTCTTGGGTCATCAGTTTTTGATCACATGATCCAAGAGCTTCCTGTATCTCTCAGGGTCTGCGGTGGAGAGATCAATACGCCAGTGCTCCCAACTCCGCCCATTATAAACCAGCTAACGTCACAGCCCTGCCCCCCTTCTATCTCAGAATCTTGACCCGTCTTCAGCATACTCAATGGTGTATACTATACAACAAATCTAACCAGCAAAGTGGGGTCCCGTCCCCTTAATTGCTGCAGGAACTGGGCGGAGTTGGGAACTCGTGCAGAGATGTCACCGATGCAGTCCCCAAGAGAATGTTGTGGGGCGCTAAATACGCTTCCAAGTCCAATTGGACGAAGCCTTCAAGGAACTGTCCACTATCACCTTACAGCACCTCGCTAATGATGGGAGGGTTTAAAACGCTCACCTTGACACATTAATAGCTTTTAGTCCTGTTGAAAGCTACAGATTTCAGCTGCTGAAACCCAACCTTGTCCTATAACATCAGTCACCTCTGCTTAAACTAACATCTAAGTTCTGCCTTCGAGAGGCTATGGAAATTATGACTGTGCACCAGGAATCGAACTATGTAGAACCTTAACTAGGAATTTGGGAGGACTATGGGCCCACCTCCTGGCTACACACAAAGACAATTTGAGAAGGAAGGTGGGAGCCCACATGGGAAACTTTGGCACGTAGGACAGATTGTGAGTATGCAAATGCCTGCCCCTGAGGTCTCAGCTGGTAAGCCAACCCCTATCTGCTTGGAGGTAGTCATTAAGTGATATGGCTCAAGGCCTGGTGGCACATAAGACCATATGGTTACCATGATGGGCTTTAATTGCGTCAATGATGGCTGTAGTCTTCCTTCACGCGGTTGTCACTCCATTAAGCAAATTTTGGCAAGCTCTTGGTTGCAGATTGTATATACCCAAACGTTTGTGTTAGGAGAGGTCTTAAGCTTGGTTAACCAATCAGCTTGGTCCTCCAAACGCCAGACTGGAACCAGCCTGCTGATCTAAATGGCACAGGACACATAGGTGGTCATGGAAAAATCCCTCAAACATGAGGAGGACCTGCTAACCGACTCTGCTTGGCTTAGTGGTACCTACTTCTGGGGCGTTGAATATGTTTCCAAGTCCAAGAGGACAAAGCCTTAAAGGAACTGTCCACTATCTCCTTCCAGCAACTTGCTAAAGATTGGAGGGTTGAAAACGTTCACCCTTAACATTAATAGCTTTTAGTCAGTTTGGATGCTACGGATCTGCGCAGCTGAGATCCAACCTTGTCTTATAACAAGCCACCACTGCCTGAACTGATATTTAGTTTCTGCCTTTGAGGGGCACAGGAGAGGGTAGTACAATTGAACTAGGTAACGCCTTAACTAAAAGTTTGGGAGGACTATGGACCCACCTCCTGAATACGCACAAAGACAATTTGGGAGGGAACGTTGGAACCCACACAGAAAATTATGGCACATACAGCAGATTGTGAGTTTTTAAAGGCCCGCCCCTGAGGTCTCGGCTGGTAAGCTAACCCCTAACATGTAAAGGGGAGTACATCTGTTAAAGGAGGACATATCCTTTAATTGTCACTTAATAACAACCTTACAAAAAAAACAGACCAATTGAAGTGCTAAGAAGGATGGCAGTTCAAAGGCAACATTCAGTTATGAGTGCAGAGCAGTCCTGGTACACAGCAGGTTAGTCCGTGATGCTTGAGAGTTAGTGCAATGCATTTCACGCAGAAGAAGAGTCTGTGATTGGATGGCGAGATCTCAGTGTATGTGCAACTTAGACAACAGGTTAGCCTGTGACCACGTGGTAATGTCACAAGGTGCGCACCTAACTGAATGATGCATCAAAAGTGAGCGCAGTGCAATCTGTAGCTTGATGTCATAGGCAGGTGGAGATAGGCCGGTTTCTTCAGCCAAATCAAGCATTGCAAGGAATAATCTTGCAGTGTGGAAACCTAGCAGGAGCGTGGGGGCCAGTTGAGGAGACCAAATTGTTCTGTGATGGACCTTCGATCGCCTTCTTTGAAGGTAATGGCTATCTCAGACCTGTCTCTTCTGTCCTCCCAATATACCATCATGAGGAGGAGAAAGGTTTCAGCAAGAGCAAACCTAGAGGAAAAAAAGGTCTCCAAGGTGACTTGTAGAAGGAGAAAACATGTCTAAAGTCTTGTTGAAGGACAAAAATGGTGCAAGATTCAGTGGTGGTCCATGACGGCCCACAAGGCGTGAACAAAAAAAAAAGGACAAAAAGTTCAGAATCGAGGTGGGTTGAGGGGCATTCATGGTGGAGGACTACATGAAAATCTGAATTATTCCAAATTTGGTACCCTCCTAAGAAGCTCCAGATAGTAGAAAACCCCTCCTATCCTCGTTGCCACCCAAACCACATTCAGACCGGCGGGTCTTGTTTGTCTACTGATAGTAAAGTCTGTAGCGCAAGTGGTTTGTGCCGATGTGCCTTCTTTGATGGGCCTTGTATGTCTACCGATGGCAAAGTCTCTAAGGGCGTGTGGCGAAGTGCCTTCTCCGGTGGAGTCTCGGTGATCTTATGTGTGCTCTGGTGCTTCACGAGTGTCGACCGGTGCGCAAACCTCTGGCCGCACTGAGGGCAAGGGAAGGGCTTTTCCCCCGTGTGAACTTTCTGGTGCTCGACAAGGTTTGACTTGCGTGCAAAGAACTTGCCGCAGAGCGTGCACTCGAAGGGCTTTTCCCCCGTGTGAGTCTTCTGGTGTTCCAGGAGGTTGAACTTGTGGCCGAAGTTCTTCCCACAGTCGGAGCAGGAGTAAGGCTTCTCTCCCGAGTGGACTTTCTGATGGGCAATGACTTTCGTCTTGTGCGTGAAGCACTTGCCGCATTCGGCACAAGGGTACAACATCTCGCCTGTGTGGATCCGCTGGTGCTCGATGAGGTTTGACCTGTAGGCGAAACACCGGCCGCACTCCGCACAGGCGTAGGGTCTTTCCCCGGTGTGGATGCGTTGGTGACGGGTCATCTTTGACTTCTGGATGAAGCTTTTTCCGCAGTAGGAACAGGAATAAGGCTTTTCCCCGGTATGGATCTTTTGATGGTCTATGAGGCTGGTCTTGTGCGCGAACCGCCTGCCGCACTCGTCGCAGGAAAACGCCTTTTCGTGCGTGTGCGTTATCTGGTGTGAGAGGAGTTTGGCTCTGTAGTTGAAGGATTTGCCACAGTCCGGACAAGGGAACCGTCCTTCCACTCGGTTAGGGGGGTTAGGACTGGAGTGGTTGACGTCATGGCCGCCTTGGGTGGAGGGAGCAGAGGGCACGGCAGGGCTGTGGAGGGCTAGTTTGATTTTCGGGACGATGGGGTGCTTTGTTGTAGACTCTGCAGGAGGACCCTCCTCTTTTATTTCAACATCTGGAGGAGCTGGATGGTGCGGTGATGGGGACGTGGACACGGAACGGTAATGTCCATCTGCCAGAAGGAAAAGAAAAGCGTTAGGGACCAGAAGCAGATTAGGATGTTTTCATCTAACCAGTTCATGGCAGATTCTTCCCTTTCTTCCTGATTGCCTTCCTCTGGACCGTCCCTTTTCAGTTTTTTTTCAATCATGTAGGGTCAACCTGAAATGTGGGCGTTACCTATGGTGGTCTGTATGCAAACGCAGCCTGCCCATCAACGCCCACTCCTCCAGACGCCCATTAATGCATTTTGATATTTGCATAACTCCTCCTAAGAGCCAGCCCACTGCTTGCATCAGGGCTGTAGGCTCATGAGGGGCGTATGGGGCAGAGTGCTGTGAGGTTTTCAGGAAGCTATGCACAGCACCCTGCCAGCCTCTCACCCTCGCCCTTTTCCATCCTCATCCTTCCTCATTCCTCTCTTCCCTTCTCATCAGTTCCTTGCTCTTCTTCCTTTCCTCCTCTATCATTTACTTCCTCATTCCCATCTTGTCAGTCCCTATCCCTTTCTTTCTTTGCTAAACCTCTGTCATGTCCTTCTCTTCGCTTCTTGTCAGTTTCTTGCTCTACCCTCCTTCTCTATGATTTCTCATCATTCCTCTCTTTTCTTCTCTTGTCTGTTTCTTTTTCTCCCCACCTTCCCCTTCTTCATTTTCTCCACCTCTGTAATCTCCTTCCTCTCTTCTCTTCTTGTCGGTCTCTTGCTCTACCCACCTTCCTCGTCTTCCTTTGCTCCTCCTCTATCATTTCCTTCCTCATCGTTCTTCTCTTCATGTCCCTGCCTTCCCTTCCACCCTAAGCCTTCCTCTCTTTCCCTAAAACCTTCATACTACAGCAAACTAGATTCAAATATCAATGTAGAAAACTATCTCACTCACAAAATACACCAAAACCTCCAATAACCAATCAACCGGACAAAGGACAACCCGCCTACTGTATGATGTATAGGCAGTAAGCAATCATAGCACTGGTTGTAATCAAAAAGACCTTTTCAGTGGTATGTGTCTTGAATGGTCTGCTCAAGTGTGATGACCCCGGGCTCCACAGTTAATGACATATGGTTTCCTCATGAGGAGAAGACATTGTTGTAATGACTGAGGAAGGAGGATCTCTTCTGGACTTTTATTACTCACCTGTGCTGATCTCCACTGGAACTTCCTCCTCTTTGATTCTATAGTCAGCTTCCTCCGTCTCCTGATCGACCTCCAGGAACACAATGTTCAGATCTTCCTAAAGTCATGAACATCAAGTCATATTTTAGCTGGATAGATAAGTAACTATATGCAAAGTTGGAACAATGGGGAGCCCAAAGTATCTAACTACCTGATACTCATCTGAGGTGTTGTGATCCTCCTGAGGGATCTCCTGATGTTCCAGAGGGATCTCCTGATGTTCCAGAGGGATCTCCTGATGTTCCAGAGGGATCTCCTGATGTTCTTGAGGGATCTCATGATGTTCCTGTGTGGAGTCCCGGGAATAGAGAGAACTTGGACATCTCTGTGGAGTATCTTTGTTACTGGATCCATCTGTAGGAAACACACACACTGACTGAATACATTGTTTCTATGTCTTTATATCAGAGGATGTGTGTGTCTAGGGGGATCCTCAATACTCAAGAAATGAAAGTCTCCTCTTACCCGGTGATGTGAGGGGCGTCCGGTTCTCCTTAATGGCGTCCTTGTAGAGATCCCGATGTCCTTCTAGATACTCCCACTCCTCCATGGAGAAATAGACGGTGACATCCTGACACCTTATAGGAACCTGACACACACAATGATACAGTCACCCTCCAGACACATCCCTTGTCTGTTCCTTGGACCATATCCCAGAATCCCCGGCACCGCTCACCTCTCCCTTCAGCAGCTCAATTATCTTGTTGGTGGCCTCCAGAATCTTCTTATCATTGCTTCTCTCCGTAGTCCGGGAGGGAGCTGAAGGATCGCCATGCTTATTTATGGGTCCATAATTCTACATAATATAATGTAGTAAAAATAAATGTCACTGAATCCTCTTCATCAGGTCTGTGTTTTATGAATAGAGATAAGAGTGATGTCATGTGACCTCCCAGAATCCTCCTCACCTCTCCGGTCAGGTCTGTGTTTTATTAATAGAGATAAGAGTGATGTCATGTGACCTCCTAGAATCCTCCTCACCTCTCCGGTCAGGTCTGAGTTTTATTAATAGAGATCAGAGTGATGTCATGTGACCTCCCAGAATCCTCCTCACCGGTCAGGTCTGTGTTTTTATTAATAGAGATAAGAGTGATGTCATGTGACTGCCCAGAATCCCCCTCACCTCTCCGGTCAGGTCTGTGTTTTATTAATAGAGATAAGAGTGATGTCATGTGACCTCCCAGAATCCTCCTCACCTCTCCGTTCAGGTCTGTGTTTTATTAATAGAGATTAGAGTGATGTCATGTGACCTCCCAGAATCCTCACCTCTCCGGTCAGGTCTGTGTGTTATTAATAGAGATAAGTGTGATGTCATGTGACTCCCAGAATCCACCTCACCTCTCCGGTCAGTAGGTAGAGGATCTTCAAGGTGAGTTTAATGATTCTCTTATTGATGCGTCTCCTTTCCTCCTCCATACCGCAGGCTCAGATCATGGGATCGGGTGCTGATGGCAGTGGAGATTAAAGGAATTCTAGGGGAGAAAGGAAGAAACCTCATCTTATGTGAGAGGAGGACACTTTAAATATGGGAACCTGTTCTCCTTTTAGCATTTCAGATTAAACATACTTTATTGTTCCTCCCTTTCAATGTCAGTCTATGGGGTCAGGATCATTGGACTGTCCATAGGATGAACTCGGCAGGAATTGTTAGCACATTGCCTTATTAACAGTTGGCCACTAGAGGGCGTGCTTACCGATGGGTTGACAACTATGCTGCACTGATCCTGAATCCAGAGCAGAGTTGTCACCCTCATGTAGGCTGTACCTACTTACACTCCAGTGGGAGCTGTTGCAGGGGGTGTGGCTATCGGCATTGTCACTGTCGATTCATCAGAACTGGTCACACCTACTCCCTCCCACTACCTTCTGGATTGGTTGCACTGTTGCTGCACCCCTCCCTCTGTAAGCTGCAGTGTTTGGGCAGGGGAGTGTGTGACACAATGGAGGAGGATTTGGCTCAGTCAGGAAGTTTATTGAGGCTCCTTTATAATATCTGGATCTGGTACTTGTTCATAGATGGGAGCCTTTTAAATATATCCAATGACAGGTCCACTTTAATAATTATAACAACAACAATACTCATCCGAAAAAAAAAATAATCATCAGAACATTTGTGGGATCAAATATCCCAAAAAGTGTCCAAAATGTACAGAGCTGAGCCGGCGACACCAAGATCCGCGGGTGAACCCCGCTCCGACAGAACCTCGGGGTCACCCTTCATAGGAGCAACCCCCACCCAGCTCCCCTCCACCTAACACCCAGCCTTGTCCCTCTAATGCTCACTATGCAGAGATCACCCACCTGACTGCAGGAAGTCAGCAGCTGAGCTTCAGGAGCCTGATGTCACCCGCAGTGGCCAGGAGGCGGCAGGGGATGATGGGTAATCATGTGTGTCCTCTTTACAGCAGGAACTATTCCCATGCTTTCGTTTAAAGAGCACCGCTCAGCACTTTGCTGCCGGCCATCTTCCCGGAGACCAAGGGTGGCCTGACCCTTAACAAATCACTGCTGCCGGCTTCTCCAAACCTTGTCTGCTGTTTGACCTCTAGTGTCCAAGGCTCTGTCACATGACCTGACACTAGAGGCATTGGCGGCCATCTTTAGTAAGGGAATGTTGCCCTTTTACAAAAATATGGAAAAATTTGTGTGTATAGATTTTCTGCAACACATAGATTCGATAGATTATATACATAGATAGACAGATGGATCGATCGATTAGATCATATAGGTATATAGATGATTTATAGATGAAGGATGGATAGATAGATGAAGGATGGATAGATAGATGGGTGATGGATGGATGGATAGATAGATGATTGATGGATAGATGGGGGATGGATAGGTGGGTGATGCATGCATAGATGATTGCTGGATGGATAGATAGATAGATGGGTGATGGATGGGTGATTGATGGATGGATAGATGATTGCTGGATGGATAGATGGGTGATGGATAAATAGATAGATGGGTGATGGATAGATAGATAGATGGGTGATTGATGGATGGATAGATGATTGATGGGTGTTGGATGGAAAGATGGGTGATGGATAGATAGATGATTGTTGGATGGATAGATAGTTCCGTCACAGCCTGGTGACATCTGGACGCAGCCCCGGTGGGATCTGGACACAGCCTGGTGACATCAGGACGCAGCCCCGGTGGGATCTGGACACAGCCTGGTAAGTACTTGGTCTTAAAAAAGCGGTGTCGGGACATCCCTAATTTCCAGGGCGCCATCTTTATCCACCGCCATAGCGAATGGAAATCTGAGAGCCCTCTGCAGTTGGGGCATGCATAATACAATGCTTGGGATTCGGGGTGGCTGTGCAGTTCTTCGTTGTGTTCACAAATGTCTGACAGCAATGGGCTGGATCTTGGGAGGAGTTATGCAAATATCAAAATGCCTTGATGGGTGGTTGTCAGCTTGGAGGAGTGGGCGTTCCTAGGCAGGGTATTTCTGTACAGACTGTCCAAGGTCACGCCCACATTGACGCTGAGGCTCCATGATTGATTTGAAATCCAATAAAAGGGGCGGGGGTAGGGACAGTCAGGTTGGGGAGGAAAGAACTAGATGATGCTCGATGTCCAAGAATCGGGGCGGACACTTATTCGGGCGGACTGAGTAAATCAGACAATTATGTTTTGTTAATAACTTTATTCAATACATGTTGTCTGCACTAGACATATAAATAGTACATTGTGTAATCAGTTATATCCAAAGCTAGTGACAATGGTGGAGCGACAGATGGTGGGTGGTCCCTCCCTTCCTTAAAGGGGCAATCTGGCGAAACAGCAAACTTTCATCTGGCTTGTGTTCCTGCCTTGTTGTTCTGGTGCCTATGTCGGCCAACCGGCCTCTGTAAACTTGCCATCTGAGAATTTCAGGCCAGGTGTTCCCGGATTTTGAGCTCTGCCCTCTGTAGGCTGCAGTCCTAAGCAAGTGCTGGTATATGGGGGCGGGTGGAGCAGCGGGGTGGTGTAGCGGTTTGTCTTTACTTAATTGGCTTTTGACTCACGCATGGGCCAGTCCAGCTTCTGACTCACGCTTGGGCCAGTCCGGCTTCTGACTCAAGCATGGGCCAGTCCAGGCAACTTATGACTCAATAATGGGCCAGCTTGGCTTCTGATTGACGCAACAACCACAACAACGCAACAACCACAACAACCTTCCTACATCTTCCGTACTCCACTTAGGAGACCTGTAATGTGTAAGACCCCAAATGGAAGAGTCGCATCTCTTCATAAGGACTGTGGCAGGCCTATGGAACTGGCTACTCAAGGGCAGAAGTCCCAAAGCTGATAGGCCTGGGACATTCCCAGCTCTGCCCTCAGCATAGATGTCTCATGGTCCCTGGTAGGCTTTACGCTTATTATACCCTTACAAAGCATGCAGCAGTGAGACTCCCCGGTGGGAAGGCAATGAAATAAGAAGTCAGTGGAATATCGGTTTTGGGCGGCCTGGTCCTTTTTACCCCTCAGTCTTGGCATGTTTCAGCTGGTGCCTGAGGAGGCGAGCCATCTGGACGAAGGCCCTCCCACACTCCCCGCAGGAATAAGGCTTTTCCCCTGTATGGGTTTTCCAATGGCTGTTCAGGTCCGTCTTTGTGGTGAAACCGATCTTGCACTCTGGGCACTGGAAAGGCTTCTCGCCCGTGTGCCACCTCCGATGTTTCACCAGGTCGGCCCTCCAGGCGAAGCACCGTCCACACTCCTCACAGGTGTATGGCTTCAGCCCGGTGTGGCTCCTCTGATGAATGACAAGGTTGGAGCTAGTGTAGAAACTCTTGCCACACTCGGTGCACGGGTAAGGCTTTTCGCCAGTGTGGATTCTGAGGTGCTTGATGTAATAGGACTGGCTGGAGAAACTCTTTCCACACTCGGGGCAGGTATAAGGCTTCTCGCCAGTGTGGACCCGTTGGTGGTTCACCATTTCCGACTTCCAGGTGAAATTCTTGCCGCACTCCGAACAGGTATACGGCTTCTGCCCCGAATGGGCCTTATGATGTAGCATGAGGTTGGACCGGGAGCCAAATGTCTTCCCGCACTCAGAGCAGGAGTACGGACGCTCCCCGGTGTGTGTTCTCTGGTGCTTCACCAAATAAGACTTAATGGAAAACCCTTTCCCACACTCCGAACAGACATAGGGCTTCAGCCCGCTGTGGATACGCTGGTGGACAACCAAGTCTCCCTTCCAGGCGAAGCTTTTGCCGCATTCAGAGCAGGAGAAGGGCTTCTTCCCCGAATGGATCTGTCGGTGTTTGAAAAGGTGAGAGTTCTTCTTGAACGACTTGCCACACTCGGCACACGAGAAGGGCTTCTCTCCCGAGTGAATGCGCCGGTGAGAAACCAGGTTCTCCTTTCGAGTTAAAGACTTACCGCATTCCTCGCACGTAAAGAGTTTTTTGCCCAGGTGGGTTTTTTTGCGGGAGGGAAGGTCGGTCTCCGGGTCCGTCTGGCGCTCATTGGCGTGATCGGAAAAATGTTCTGCGTCCTTCGAGAAGTCAGTTGGTCTGGGTGACTTCTGATGCCTGCTGTTGATGGATGAGGGAACAGTCAACTCCTCTTGGTTAACTTCTTCCACTTGGTGTGTCTTGGATTCAACATTGAGATTCTTCACATTGTTGGAGATCTTCAACCGCCTTGTTGAACCACGAAGCCTCATGTTACAGCTGGAACGGGCGATGGTCTCTGCTTGGCCAGTCTGCTGGATTTTGGGGTACACAGTAGGATGTCCAATGTTGTTCAAGAGAAGAGATGGTTGAGGTGGATGGCGTGACCTTGTGCTGTATTTTGATAGGGTCGCGGCCACATCTCTGCCAACTACACCACTCTGACGTGTTTTGGGGCCATTGGTGAACGCCTCAACGTTATTCAGAAGACTGTCCGGTCTAGGGGCATTGAGACACCACGGGTTAAAGTTTGGGGACATGAATCTCCCAGCTTGAGGGCTTTGGGTGATTTTGTCATGAACCAAATTGCGACACACATAGATGAGGGGAAATGTTCCAGAGTCAAAACCATCTGTAGGGACGAAAGAGTTTTGGAAAGTTTAGGACTTCAAAAGCTCAACCCAAGCTTTAAAAAAGAAACAAGTGTGGCAGCACATCAACTGTGGGTAGATGAGTAGGGTTACATGGAAGAAGGGTTATATGGAGAAAGGATACATGGAGGAAGGATGATACAGAAAAAGAGTTTTATGGAAGAAGTTAGGGATGCAACAATACCGATACTAGTATCGGTACTGATACCGAGTATTTGGACGAGCTCCAATACTTACCCAGATACCGGAACTTCCGGTCAGAGGGCGATCTCCCTCTTCCCCAGCAGTGGGAGCATGGAGCCAGCTTCCGGGCCAATCAGGAAGCCAGGTGACCAGTTTTGACCCGCCTCCCTGATTGGTAAGGAAGCCAGCTTCCTAGCCAATCGGGAAGCCGAGCAGCACATCATGACCCACCAACCGGCTTTCTGATTGGACAGGAAGCCAGGCTGCCTTGCAGTGTCGTGAGGGAAGTGAGGCCGGTTTTCTTTCAATAGAACACTGGCGTCCCAGGCAATCAGGAAGCCGGGCGGCGATACAGATGCCGGTATTGGCAAGTACCAAAAAATATATATATTGGTACTCGATACTGAAAAACCGCTATCAATGCATCCCTAGAAGAAGGGCTACATGGAAGAATAGCTTTATTGCAGTAGGGTTACATGGAGGAAGGATTTTGGGAAGAAGGGTTATAGGGAAGAAAGGTTACATGCAAGAAGGATTGTATGGGAGAAGTGTTACATGGAAGGAGGGTTATGCAGGAGTTGTCTTCAGTTTACTTTAAGACACTCTTGCCATGAAGTGTTTGTCAATCAGGGTGGCAGGACCACCCACATGCCCACTTTCCTCCCTGATGACTTGGCTGTGTAGCACAGGCAGAGGGAGGAGACAGCCTGAGATTTAGTTTAAAACCCTTCGAATAGACAACTCACAATTCCGTTCTAAGAGAGCTGGAGTCTATTAGAGGCTGATGGCTCCTGACTCCCCCCACTAGACACATTCCTTCCCCCCATTACTGTCTACTGACAGAGGAGGGGGGAGAAGAAGAGATTGTTGTAGTGACTGAACAAGGAGAATCTGGGACTCTTTTCTGGAATTTGGGGCCAATTCCTCACCTGTGCTGAACGCCGGAGAACATTCCTTCTCACACGGCTCATTACCCCTCACACACGGCTCTTCTGCTTCTTCCTTCACTTCAACCTTAACAGCAATCAGGCCGTCACCCTGGAGAACACAAAAGGAACTTTTAAAATGAATATTTTAAACAGAACGCTAATAATGACTTCAGTATTATCACTGGTGTCACTTACAGAATGGCCCTGAAGGACCTTGTGAACATCCAGAGGGATCTCCTGATGTTCCTGTGTGGAATCCCGGGAATACAGAGGACGGGCCTGAGGGATCTCCTGATGTTCCTTTGTGGAATCCCGGGAATACAGAGGACGGGGACATCCCTCTGGGGTATTTCTGTTCCTGGATCCATCTGTAGGAAACACACACACTGACTGAATACATTGTTTCTATGTCTTTATATCAGAGGATGTGTGTGTCTAGGGGGATCCTCAATACTCAAGACATAAAAGTCTCCTCTTACCCGGTGATGTGAGGGGCGGCCGGTTCCCCATCATGACGTCCTTGTAGAGATCCCGGTGTCCTTCTAGATACTCCCACTCCTCCATGGAGAAATAGACAGAGACATCCTGACACCTTATAGGAACCTGACACACACAATGATACAGTCACCATCCAGACACATCCCTTGTCTGTTCCTGGATCATGTCCCAGAATCCCCGGCACCGCTCACCTCTCCCGTCAGCAGCTCTATCATCTTCTGGGTGACTTCCAGGATCTTTTTGTCATGGTTTTTCCAAGGCGTCAGGAAGGGAGGTGACCACTCACTTGTTTTCTTCTTGATGGGTCCATAATCCTATGAAAGTAGACATACAGTGTAACCCAGAATCCTCCTCACCTCTCCGGTCAGGTCTGTGTATTATTAATAGAGATAGAAGTGATGTCATGTGACCTCCCAGAATCCTCCTCACCTCTCCGGTCAGCAGGTAGATGATCTCCAGGGTCAGGTTCAATATGCGTCGGGTCACGTGACTGCGGCCGGCCTCCATGTACTCAGGTTCGGGAACGGCAGAAGCTTCAAAGGAAATTGTAAAGAAAGCAAGTGTCATATGTCATACCTGTGGAGGGACAAGTTGGGTATGTAGGGAACCTTGGAGTACATACAGTTATGGTCTGCCATTGGCTCAGGTACACAGGCCCACACAGCGCCTACCTCGCCCTCCCGGGGTGCTCCTCATTCAGGTACATTGGCTAATCTCTCATGGTGTCTGTCTTTGATATTTAATCCTCACCATTCTCTGCTGTGGATGTCACGTGACTATAAACCAGGCCAATCAGCTCCTAGACAGAACACTGTACACGGCACACAAATGTGTCCTCAGAAATGTTATCGGCAGGGAGCCATTTTGGAGTCTTCAGTCCGTTCTGAAGAATACATTGGGCTTCTCAAAAATGGCTTCGGCGTGGAGACACTCTAGTGTTCGCAGAAGAGGGCTGGGCTGAGCACTAGGTAGTGGGAGGACCATAGGGGCGTGTCCGAATGAGCGTGCGGCGGCCATGTTTACAACGGGCAGCAATTATCAAAGCATTTGTGAATAGAAAGTGACAGCAAAATATATAGTAATACACAGAATAAGAAATCGTGTCCACTTTTGCCACAGAAATGTGCAACGTCTGAGGCACTATTACGTGACAGCTGCCCACAGTAAACATGGCACTTCGTACAGCTCAGGGTGCAGAGGGACCTGGAGCATGCGCAGTAGGATTAAAGAATTGAGAGGTTGAAATATTGTTTTGGGGTTATTGTCAGGTCTTGGGGGTTGCAGAGACTGGTGCACACTGTCGCAGGAGGGGCAGGTATGGCTGCTGGAGGTGACCTATGCACTCTGACACCCTTTCAGTACCTGTGCTTATAAATACAGAAGCCAAAGGCACCCCTGCTGTCATTTTATAGTGTCCCCCCACCCATAATGTAGGCTTTTGTTATAGGTGGGGGGCTGAATGCCACGGTGTCTTCCTGTATTGCGCCATTTTACAATATGTTTGCCTTATGTTGAATGCGAAATGTAGCCAGGGGGGTGAAATCCTCTTATTAGGGTCGCGGAAGGTGGGCGGAGCTGGGAACCTGACCTGCCTACACTTGCCGTAGGCGTTCAGAGGCTTTAAAGTATTTCCAATGGGATTGAGGTCAGGTACTGATGTCAGAGGAGAAGACCTGGCTCAAAGTTGGCTTCCCAATTCATCCCATTGGTGTTCAGTAGAGTTGAGATCAGGTACTGATGTTGGAGGAGAAATCCTGGTTCACAATTGGCCATCCAGATCATCCCAAAGGTCCATGTTCTACTGCCAATGTTTGTCACTGGAGGTTGCATGGCTATGTGCATGATTATATGTGCACAATGGGTGCGGCTTAAACACCCAAACTGGATAATTCGGTAGGGGTGTCTACATGGTTCTGGACATATAGAGTCTGTCTGTCCTGGTCCCCTCATGTGTGCCCAATCAAATCCTCCTTTGATGCTCAAAAATATTGCTTTGTAGAATCGTGAAATCTGCATTTGTTCATTTGATTGTAGGCCGAAGACATGCAAGAAGTCAAGGCTGTGATCGTAACCCAAATTCACACTATTGAGGAGCCGTATGTAATGGGTGAGGAGCCGTGGAAGGAGGAGGGACGTTCTCCAGAGATCGGCACAGGTGAGGAATGAACATGAAATCCAGAAAAGGGTCCCAGATTCTCCTTGTTCGTTCCACCATTGAAGACCAGGTAGAGAGCAGGAGGGAGATACATATGACCCTGTCCCACCTCTTTCCCATCGCACAGCTTCTGAGGGTCCTATCTCCAGAAACGGTGGGATGGGGATGGGGATGGTGGTGGTGGGGATGGTGGTGGTGGGGATGGTGGTGGTGGGGTTCTTTGGTGGTGGATACAATTTCATTCTCATTATTCCAAACTTCACCGACCTTGTCCCATACTGCTCTACGACATGATGGCCTCGCCTCAAGACTGACTTTACATCCCACAGGTGCACACAGGAACTCCCCGCCGCATCAGCCCCTCTCGCCTCGTAGGGATGAAAACCTTGCCCAAGACTCCAAAGGACAATCTGCCGTAGGGCCCATCTGCTGTAAATCTGACTTTCTCCCAGACTCCGGCCACACATGGTACTTTCCCAGCCCTATGGACGCCACGGCACCCAGCATCGGCCGAGGCGGGGACCAGATCTACATCTGCGCGGACTGCGGCGAGTCGTTCCTGTGCAAGTCGCACCTCGTCTCCCACCAGAAGGTCCACCTGGGGAAGAAGCAGTACGTCTGCCCCGAGTGCGGCA